AGATCTGTGCCCTTCCCTGGGTATGACATTAACTCCATCGAGTCGGCTCCTGATGTATGTCTTAGTGACTGCTGTTTGTTTTTAGGATGTGATCTGGTTTTTCATGTCCATTTTTCGTGATTATGACTATTCTGGATAAAGAATGTTTTGAGCAGAGGTGGATTCAAGGCACTTCCCCTCCCCCCTTCATTTTTTAAGGAAAAAAAAGGAAAAATATATTCAAATTGAAGTGCGAGAGTGTAATTTCCGGCCATCTAGAGATGCCCTAATCATAAATTTTCTTACCTCAGCCCCAACCATGGTGGGGCTGAGGTCAGTGGTTCCTCAGTCTGTGAAAGTCCCTCCCTGGTTCACCTCTCTTTCGAATTCCTGGATCTGCAACTGTTGATTTATTATATAATTATTTTTTCGCTTATTTATAATGCGTCTATTGCTATTTTCACTTTATCCTCTCAAACAGTCCTAAGAGCGTTCAGAGTGCGCTACTTTACAGGGGATTCGCCACCTTGACCCCGCCGGGGTCATACGTAATTCGCATAACGGCTCCCCCACTTTCAAAATTCTGGCTACGTCCCTGCCCCAAACTTATTCCTAACATTGATGATCTAATTTACAAAGTGGGCCGTGGTAGGTAATTCTCCAAAATATACCTGTCAAAAGAATATTGGCAGATACCCATCGTTCAGAGAGATAGGGAGAAGACAGCGATGGTTACGTCGAACGAATTGTTTCAATTTTCTGTCTTACCATTCGGCATGGTAAACGCCCCCGCCGTGTTTACTCGAATGATGCGTAAGTTGTTAGACGGAATGGATAATGTCATTAATTATATGTTTAAGGTTAAATAGGATTTTTGTTACATTTAGCCTGTACTAGGCTTAGAAATGCTGGTTTAACTGCCAGGCCAACTAACTATGCTTCGTGGCAACATTAGATTTTTAGGGCATGTCAACGCTCTACCTTAAGCTGACTCAAACGCTCTTTACTTAATCGGGGTACTCCACTGGGGCTAGGAATGGGAGCCTGGGTTTACTATTATCTCTATGGATTTACGTTCAGCAAAATATCGGTCGTTGTGCGCTTCCGCCTAACGGTCTGCTAAGGCTGCCATTTGCGCTAAACTTTCAGACTGCCTCTCCTTAAGGAAGAGAGATAATTCTTTACCGTCACTCTTATCATCATCTCAAATATAGGCCTACCGTCGTATGTTTTATTTACCCCTCTAAACTCAATCCACCTTGTCAAATAACCCGATATGCGATCTACAAACTGGGTGTAAGTTTCGGTATACTCCAACCTAGCTGATCTAAACTTAATTCTAAAGCCTTCCTCACTCCGCAGGTACCATATATTTAGTAGGGTCTTTTTTACTTCTTTGTAATCCTTAGCACTAGGCATCTGTGCGAACGCATCTAAAAGCCCTACCCGTGAGCAAACGCACAAAGAGAAGTGGCCCAATCTTCCCCCATTTCATAGCTACTGCAAACCTTTTAAATCGTTTAAGATAAGCATCCAACTCATCCCTACCATCATTAAAAAAGGAAGAAGTTTAGGTAACTTAGGAGGAATATGCTGCGTTGCTACTGCGACAACTGGGGCGCTCACTTAAGCACTTTCAAGACGTTGCTCTTGCTCTAACTCTGTTTGTTTTAAATCTACGTTCACATCAAGCCCGGATCCAGTCCGGAGCCCGGACAAAAGATCGTGGGTTGCTACCATAGAGATATAATAGCTCTATGGTTGCACTTCAATAAGATAATGTAATTTACAAATTATAACACCACATAATAAGGTAAACCTAAAATGGTGTATTATAAAAGACAGTAAAATTTAAATAACATTAAGCCTCAAAATACTGTTTGAATAATTAACTCTGTATTTCGTAATTGACACAATAATGTCTTGCAGAAGAGCAAGATATGGTATTTCATTGATAATGCTTTGAAAAATACTGTCAATAAAGGAAAAATGCTTCATAAATAATATTCAAGGTAATGTATTTTTAGTTATTTTTATTGTTATTTATGGAATTATCATTATCACTGAATAATAATGATAACGTAATAATAATAATATTAATAATAATAATAATAATAATAATAATAAAAATATTAATAATTTTAACAATAAAATTATAATAACAATGTAATTATAAACTTCAGGACTGAAGACAATTATTAGCGTAGTTAATAGTTGAGCTGACCTTCTAATCACTACTATCCTTGAGTCAAACATACCTACATGAATGAATGCATTTTTCCTAATTATATAAATGATAATAATTATCATTGTTATTAAACTTATTTTTTTATTATTATTTTTAATTACTGTAAGTAAGTACATACAATAGCAATTCATAGATTTG